GTTCAAACATGTTTTTGCTTCTTGAATCTATCCGAACAGGTGCATATCTGTTGGCACCTGTTCGGAAAAGCTACCATTTCTCTTATAAAAGGCTAGCCTTCCAGCAATTCAGGACATTGAAATTTCCCTCAGATTTTTGTCTCTCTTCTTCCTTTTCCATCTTCTTATTTTCTGCATTTATTCTGCATTTAATTTTAGGAAAAAGAAATAGAGAGTTTCAGCAAAGTTTTGGTTCGTCAGACTTGATTTTCTAGTGCTGCAAATTCAAGTGTTAGTCGTTGCATATTGGGAAATAGATGCCAGTTAAAACTCGAAGCACCGGAGCGAGGGAAAAATCTACTTTAAGGAGATTGTGTCCAACACAAGTTTCGACTTTAATTTCTGTAAACATTTAATTCGGAATTTAATTTATATAATTATTTTCTGAATTATTTTATTTTGTTATTTTTTTAATTTATATATTTAATTTACACACACGCGCGCACACACATACACACACCACTGTGGGTATAACACTTATAACAAATAGCAAGTGACAATTTAATTAAAAAAATCTTATTCTTTTTCGTTCAAATTCTTTTTTATTTAATTATCTCCAGGGAAGTCTTTAATCTGTTTAAGGCATAAAACTTGACCACAAAATCTGATCTTTTTGTATTTATTAAAATTTGTTTAAACTTGTCGATCAATCATTGTCAATTGGGCTTAAACCGAATTTTTGCTAACAAATGTTTTTCACGTTTTAACTTATTATTATATTCCTTTTCTTTTTTTTATTAAGAAATTTTGTTTTTTGTGTCAACAAATGTATTTTATTACTTGATTTTGCCACCAATGGTCACATTTAATTCACACATAAGAAGCGGGATTAAATTAAATAATTCCGAGATAAATAATCTTTCATTTGATTTAAATTTTTTTTAATCCGAAATAACTAATTCCAAAAGGATTTTTTTATCCAACTTATTTTTGATTGTTTTGTTGTTCAAAATAGGTGACTCGAATAACTTATCCCAAAATAATACATATGTTGCAAATTTCCAAAATCGAGATAAGTATCCAGGGATTGTAATTTTCACTATATAATCTTGTTTGTGAACTAAATGTAGTATATGTATCTTGTGTATAGGTAGAACACGTCGTGTTTAAAAAATAATCAAACCCATCATGTATGATAGATAGAAACAACAAGAAAAATGAAGAGTTTCAACAAAAAATTTGATGATATCCCTTTGAGTGCGTTTGTTTTGAGGAATTATTTCATAGGATTAGATTATTTGTCTATCCGAATTAATAATCCATTGTTTAGTTTAAAATTTTGGTATCGGATTATTAGTCTCTTCAGACTATTAGTTCCAAATCTATTGGATTATCGTGTCCATGAGAGAGGGGGGAGGGTGGACAAAAATGGAGGGATAGGGGAGGATATGGGGATTAGGTAGTGAAATGATCATTTTGACCCTCTACTATTTAATTATGTATTATATTTAGTAAAATTTAATAAAATTTAAATATTTCAATTTAAAAATAAAATAATTTTATTTAATTTTTATTGATGTTTTATTTATTTAATTTTTTATAGATATTTTATTTTAAATTTTATTTAATTTCATTATTTAAATTTTGATAGATTTTTTTTTAATTTCATTATTTAATTATTATTATTTTTTAAAATAAATTTATTTAAAATTTTAATTAAAAAATAACATATATTTTTATTGATATTTTATTTATTTAAAAAAAATAAATTTATTTATTTGTGTAAAAAATAAAATAAAATAAATTTTTATTTAATCTAGTTTAAAATAATTAAAATATTAAAGATATGTTTAATATTGTTATTACTTAATAAATAATTGAAAAAGATAAAATAGTCATTTGAACATTTATCTTTTTCCATAATATCCTAAACAAACATGGGATACAAATTCAGTCCAACTAAATAATCGAGGGACAATGTATCACAGACTAATAGTCCAGTGGATTCTAATCCCCCGTAATCCAGCTCGTCCAAACAAACATACCCTTTGGTCATGTTTGTTTGGGTGGACATGAGCTTGGGATTAGACTAATAGTCTAATAAAATTATTAATCCGATATTTGGTTAAACAATTGAAATACAGATTAATTATTTTAAACTTGACTATTAGTTAAGATAGGAAACATAATCCAACGGATTCGTACTCCTAAGACTATTAGTCATGGGTATGCTAATCCAGTCTGCCCAAACAAACATAGCCTTTGTTTATTATTTAAAGTAAATCTAACGTCTAATATCAACAAATTTTCCGAACCCCATTGGATTTAAAATCTAACATATATTTTTGTTAATCATTGTTTAATATTTCTATAACATCAATGTATGAAACGGCAGGGAGTTCCAAGGTAGGTTTCCGGGACCATAGTAAAATTATTTTTAGGGTTAAATTATAAACATACCTTTTGAAATTTGCTTAAAATATGAATAACCTCTTATGGTTTGAGAAATTACAAATATTCATTATCAGAATTTTTTATTTAACAGAATTAACCAAAAAAAAAAAAGAAATTACTAACTACTCTTCTATACAACAATAAAATTATATGAATTATTAATTGAAATATATTTCTGGCATTAATAAAAACTATTAATTGACTTGATGGTAATAAAAACTATAAATTGACTTTATGCTTTATTAATAAAAGAAGTAAAACAGACTCCAGGGCCTCTCTTTCTCTTTGAAAACCTCCTCTTTCTCTCTCTGAAAACCTCCTCCCCGGGCCTCATTTTGGGCCGGCCGGCCGCCGCCTTCGGCTATGGCGGTTGGCTGGCCCAGTCCTTGTGTTTGTTTGTTAGTTTCCCTTTAATAAACTTGATCCCCCCATTTTTTTTCCCACCTTGGTTTGCTTTGTGGGTTGCGGTTTTTTTTGGTGTTTCGGTGCCCGCCATAGATGTTTCACTGCTGTAGTTGTATTTCTTCAGGGATTGCTTGGAACATGGGTTCTTATAGAGGAGGAGGTTGGTGTTGGATCGGCTGGAGGACGTCCAAATTTGGTGAGGATCTTCATTCGTGCGCTCTTTCGCGAGTAGGAGCTTGAGGGAAGAACTATGGTTCAGATTTATGGAGTAGTATTGATGCTTTGTTTGGGAGGAAATATGAGTGTCATAGTCGTTCCAGATCTGCCTGGTCTCTATTCGAGCGCTCCTCTTCGAGTGGGAGTTTGAGGGGTGAACCTTGTCCCGGTTATGGAGGTGTCTCAGCGGTTGATCGGTATTCGGATCATCATCTGCCAAGTTTTTGTAGCGAGTGTGTTTGACTATAATAGTAGGAGTGTTTGAAGGAAGGAGGCGTTATGTTAAATGTGTCGTGGAAGCAACACTAAGAACTTCATCATATTATCATTTGCCATTCGTTAATAGTTATTCATTTCTATAGAAGTCATACAAAGGGATAATGAGAAAGGGTTTTCATATAGACGCACACAAAATTTAACTCCCACGACCCCACATATCTCTGAGAGAGATAAGAAAAGAAATATAAAAAATACATACATGCATTATCCAGATCAATTAGGGGTCATGAGAGTCACCCAATTTGAAGGTTACCATATATTTATAATATAACTATAAAGAATCATAATTAATAATTTTCTTATTTTGTATTCTTTGTAACTATACGACAATAATTCATTACTAACACTTAAAAAAAAATTAATTTTTTTTGTATAACAAGAGATGTGTATACATAGTAATGTTTCCCTAAACAATTTACTTTAATGAGAAGACGCTATGATCAAATAAATGGTTTATCTACATAATAAGTAAGTTAATTCTAAGATTAATATGTGATTTAAAAAATAATTAATTGAAATTAGTGTAGTTAATCAAAACCTTCTAACCTTATTAAAAAGGTAAAGAATGAAACATAAATGTTTATTCAGATTTCATTTAGAAATATGCTATTTTAATAATTTTTAATTTTTTATAAAAAAATATATAAAAAAACAGAAAAGATAATATAATAATTTTTTAATTTTTTTTGGGTTAAAACATGTAGTCCTCAGACTCTCATTCATTCTCTAAATTACAGTCTCCATTGTAAATAAACTAATAAATCAAAAGCATTGAAGATTTTGGGAGTGGCTACAATGGGAATACAATGTGTGAACAAGGGCATTTTTTTATTTTATTTTATTTTTTTATTGGAGACAAAAGATATAGGTTAATAGATGTCAGTGGGCCCACCAATAGGCCTATAGTGGGTCCACACCATTTCAAAGCATCTGCCCCAACACTCAAAACCTCGAGAAATAAATTATTCGTTGGTCCAAGCACCACAGTGATAAATCATAAATTATTATATTTTTTAATTACTTAATATAAATTTATAAATTTTATTTTCTCCAATATAAAGAAATCCTTAAACCAATCAATGGCTTGTCAACCCAGAGACCTAACTAACATAGCTATTGTTGTGCATCATCATTATGTAAGGCTAAGCTAAGTTTAATGTGTTATTCAATCATTACATAATATTATATAAATATAATTTTTATATAAATATTTAATATTAAATAACACAAATTTTGTGATATAAGAGTTGACATACTGGATAAGATTTGATTTTTAATTCATGCTTAGATTCAAATTTTATCTGCTCCATATAACTTCACTTATAAATTGACTTTATGCTTTATTAATAAAAGAAGTAAAACAGACTCCAGGGCCTCTCTTTCTCTTTGAAAACCTCCTCTTTCTCTCTCTGAAAACCTCCTCCCCGGGCCTCATTTTGGGCCGGCCGGCCGGCCGCCCGGCCGCCGCCTTCGGCTATGGCGGTTGGCTGGCCCAGTCCTTGTGTTTGTTTGTTAGTTTCCCTTTAATAAACTTGATCCCCCCATTTTTTTCCCACCTTGGTTTGCTTTGTGGGCTGCGGTTTTTTTTGGTGTTTCGGTGCCCGCCATAGATGTTTCGCTGCTGTAGTTGTAAGGGAAAAAAAAATAATAATAATAAAAACTTCAGATACAAGAAAATGAAGATGTAGAATTTTTGTCTTTCAAAGATCAAACAGCGAATACACCGATATTGGTTCATATTATGATTCGACCTTTCCCTCGTCAAACTTCTATATATATATATATATATGGAAATCTGAGTATATTAATAATAATAATTAAACCAGAAAATGTAAAAGAGTAACAAGAATTAAAAGGCAAGAAAAAAAAAATTCCAACAAATTTACATGACTGCAAGCAAGCTTCAATCACCTAGAGTGTATAAATCTTTCAAACCCTGAAGCAAAGAAGATGGTGGTGGTGGTTGTTGTGGTGGTGGTGGTGGTGGTGATGGTTTTCTTTGTCTATCATGCTTTGGATGTGTCGAAATTCCTCGACATGGCAAGGAATATTGATGGGGCCTTTCTGATCAAACCCATACTCTTCTTCAGCTTCCTTCAACAATTGCATGAAGAGTGGGTGGTTGATGTAGATCACTGGGATTATGAACCTCTGTAGTTCCTCACCTTGACCCACCATTATTGCTAAGCAACCCTTTGGAATATCTTTCACAGCCTTCTTCCCATGGTGGTGGTGGTGGAGATGGAGATGAAAATTTAGGAGATTCTTGTCTCCACTACCCATCTCAAGAACAACACAGAAAGAAAATCCAAGAAAATGACAAAAAATCAAGTCCTGTTTTTTTCTTCTTTTCAGTGAAAGGTTACAAGAAAACAAGAGAGAAAGGCCAAGGGTCAGAGGCAGAGATGGCTAGATTGAAGAGGGTTAAGGAAGAGTCTGTTAAAGATCTGGGAACGTTGCTCATGATAATTGGTGTTTGAAGGTAAAACACATATATGAACTTGAAGAAGAAGAACAAGAAGAAGAAGAAGATGATGATGATGAAGATGAGAGATTTTAAGAGGTTAGGGAGGGGTATATATATATATATATGAATGGAGTAATAAGATAAGGTAAGTAAAGGTGAGAGAATATATAGAAGGTAGGGTTTACTTTTCTTGATATATACACAAAGAAAAAAGAAAAAGAAAAAGAAAGGAAGGGTAAATGGGTGTTCTAGAGAAGGAACTGCTGAAAACGTCGCAACTTGGGTTGGGTGGGCACTGGCTGGGTAATTGCTGTCCCAAAGAAGAGGGCTTTCTAACTTCCTTTCCTTTCCCATTCACCACGCTAGTAGAGCTGGAATGGAACACGACTCTTTCCGGGTCAAATGGTGCACCCAACCCCCTCCATATTATAATAATCCAACATATAAGAATATAATACAAACACAATTTATGTATGAAAAATTTTATTTTCACTATTTGCTCACTTCACACTGTCGCTAAATTAGAAATCTTGATTTTCTCTCAATATACATCATAAAATTTTAAAAGACAGATGCTTCATTTGGGAAGTTGGCTTTTTAGTAAGCTGTTTTAGTTTTTAACTGTTTTAATAGGCTAAAATATTTATATTTTAGAAGATAGTTAGATTTTTTTGTAGTTGAATGTGATATTTGTGAAAAAAAAATAAAATGATTATATGTTTGATGTGATATTTTATTTTATTGACTATTTTAACATATTTTTTCTTTTATAAATTTTAGTCTAAAAGGCAAAAAAATAGGGCTCGTTTGGTTTGATTTTCTGAAAAAAATTTGGGAAATTTTCTCTACAAATAAGTTTTCAAAAATAACCAAACCAAACAAATTTTCCCAAAAAAATTTCCCAAAACTTGTAAACCAAACAAGTTTTTCAAACAAATCTCTCTCTCACACACATCAAATCAATCACTTTTTCCAAAACTCTATCTCAAAATAATTTTCCAAAACATCTTTTAAAAAAAACCAAACCAAACATGTTTTCGTACTTTTTATCTCTAAAACACATCTCTCAAACACAAACCAAACATACCCATAATCTTTGCCAAACAAGGCCAGAATTCACTTTATTCTTTTGTGATGTGGCCCCCGGTTCAAATATAGGCAAAGAACATTTTTATGGTTTTAGAAAAAAATGCAAAGCTAACTCTGTTAAAAGTAGAGGTAAAATTATCTTAATACCCTTATGGTATATTCTCCATCTTCTTTAATACATATAATTTTCTATTTTAATCATATATTATTATTGTAAATTAGACACCCTAATTTATTATCGTAAGATTATCTTAATTTAATTTTTAATTTTAAACCCAATTTCTTATTTAATGAAATTTTAAAATAAACATAAATTTACCATATACTAAACCATAAGATTAACAAAAACAGCTTAATTTATTATCATAAAATTATCTTAATCTAATTTTTAATTTTTAATATAGTTTCTTATTTAATAAAAACTTTAAAATAAATAAATAAATATATTATTAAATAATAAATTAAACTAAACACCCTAATTTATTACCATAAAAAAACCTTATTTAGTTACATTTTTAATTAAACATATAAATATATATATATATATATTTAACAAATTAAAATAAACTTAACACGCTAGTTTATTAAAATTACCTTATATATATATATTTAACAAATTTTAAATAATAATAAATACCTTAATTTGTTACCTTAATCAAATTTTTAACCCAATTTATCATTCAATAACATTAAAAATTAAACATTTACATTTACACACACACACACACACACACACACACACACACACACATAAATTAAACCATAAACTAACCTAAATACTCTAATTTATTACCATAAAATTACCTTAATCTATTATTAAATTTTTAACCCAATGTCTTATTTAATAACGTTTTAATTTAAACTAAATTGTTTCTAAAAGATGACGATTAGGGTAGGGGTTTGATTAGGATTAAGCTTTAATTTAGAGAATAAGATAAATATAAGGGTATTATTGACATTTGATCCAATTTTTGACTTTGACTTTGACTTATTATTTTTGCATTGTCCACTCTCAATTTGAGAGAGTATGGCACACACTACAACAAAATCCACATTTGGCGACCCAGAAATTGGTCGCCAAAAGTACACATTTCGTCGCCAAAAGAATCTGCGACAAATACACAATTTGTCGCCAAAGGCCTGTCACTAAAAGTATTGGCGACGAAATAAGAAATTGTCGCCGTATGTAGACATTTAGCAACAAGAAAATTTGTCGCCAAAAATCATATATTTTGTCGCTATAAAATTCACAATATCAGTCCGAAACTCACAATATCAGTCCGAAACTCTCACAGTGTGAGTGAGTGAGAGTGAGAGGGAGAGGGAGAGGGAAAGAGAGACGAAGAAGAGGGAGAGAAAAATACCTGTTGTGCTGCCTCTGTTTTGTGCCGCTGCAGATCCTGAATGAGAAGATCAACAAGTCTCTTTTAGGTCAGTTTTGTTTATTCACTTATTATAAAAAAAAAAAAAGACAGATTAAAAACGACGTCGTTTTGATATAAATTTATTAGCGACGAAAATAATTTCGTTGCCATAAATAGCACTCAACTTTCAGCGACTAGTTTAATTATGTCGCCAAAAAGTCGAAAATTGGCGACAAACAGTTTCGTCGCCATATATTAGTTGCGTCGCCAAAACTTTTTTAGCGCTCCCGCGCGAAAAATTAAATTGGCGTCAACCATTTTTCGCGACGAATTTAAATATTTGTTGCTAATGGTGTATTTTTTGGCGACCAACACGTATATTGTCGCCAAAAAAATACAATCGGCAACCAAATTCAATTTTGTTGCTAAAAAACGTCGCAGAAAATGCTTTTTGTTGTAGTGACACCTTCCGTTATTTTTAACGGAAAAACTAATTGTAGCACTTTAGTATAAAGTGATAATGGAATTCTTCACTTATATTTAAACCATAAGGGACTAAAATGCTTCGAGACTAAACCACAAAAGGGTAAAGTAAATTTGGCAAATTTTTAAATAATATCAAATTATATCCTCTTCTCCAGCAAACCCTAATTGTAACCATTGCCATTGTTGGCTGCCGCCTCTTTCCCATTAGCCTTATATCCACATCGTAACCCCTGTGGTCGCCCCTACCTAACCTTCCTCTTTGGTTGCAACCTTTTTCTCTTTTTTTTCTTCTTCTTCTTCGCCCTATCTTTTCCCTCATTCTCCACTTCCATCCACTATCACTATTTACAACCATTATGACCTTCTTTACTAGCCACAGTTACAGCATCTACCATCGTTAACCACCATTACCTCAACCTCCAACCATTACGACCTCTAACCTATGAGAATAAGAGATATACAAATTGAAATTCATCACCTTGTGAGCTCCACTCCGTAGAGAGAAATCAAGGGTTTATGCAATGAGAAATAAGAAGAAGAATAAGAAGAATAAGAAAAAGAAGAAGAGGAGGTGGCATCGAGGAAGTATGAAGAGGGGCAATAGGGGCTACGAAGGGGACGACCCTGGAGGTGAAGCGATGGTTGGTGATGGTGTGTACATATGTATAGTGAAATTAGGGTTTATGTTTTCTTCTTAAAGAGTAATTTTTTTTGAATTCAATTATTATGTGGATTTACAATTACAAAAATGTTGACTAATATATTTAATCCTTTTTTTAATAAAATTTTTGTATGTTCTACATGTTTCCAAGTTTTAGACTTCTCCCCGATCTTATTGGAGAGATCAATTAGTGTGTTGTTGGCCCACCTCATGCTCGCATTGGAGATTCGAACTGTTCATCTTTTTGTACGGCTTAAGTAAAATATTTATGCAAAAAATTATGTTAGTTAGACATCATAGTCAACGATCAAATTAGATTTTTTGTTTTAAATATAATGAATAACATATATGATTTTTTAGAATAGACTATCAATTTTTTATTTTTTATTTATTTTTTTGTCTTTTAAAGATAAATCTAATCCTAACATGTTATTGTAGATCTTTGATCAATTTAATTCTTTTAGATGAACAATTTATTCATTTATTTATGATTAGAAAGTACAACACTTAATGCATTGCACATCTAATAATAAGTCATCTAATAAAGTATATTGGTATGCAAAATAGATTCCAAAAGGAATCATGACAGGAAACTCTGGAAAGCCACTTTTACCGACTAAAATTTTAATTGCAAAAAGGCTATTTTTAGTCAGCAAAGCCATTCTACGACAAAAAATTTTGATCGCTTCTTTGGTCGCTAATACATAGTGGCGAAAGTAATTGCGACTAAAAAAAATCATTTGTCAGCAAAAATAAGTATTTGGTGTGGGTGTTGATTTTTGACCACACAACCAAATGGGTACTTAGTTGGAGAGCACCGGCAGAATAGATTAAGCTCAATAACCTGTACAAGAAGATGAGAATCAAGCAGTGGTTTGTCCACTCGAGGGCACTCTGATGATCAAGTCAGTGATCAATATCTCTCAAAGATAGCAAATTGTGCTTAAACTCACAAGAATGAACTTACGTTTGACCCACGAGGGTGCCATACTTTTATAACCAGCAGTGATTTAATATCTTTAGAAGTCTTACTTTAATGGACTCATGCTCAATGTTCATCCTGGACCCTCATTTAGATAGAGATAAACTCTTCTTAAGCCTTATCTTTATCCAGACTGAGACCCTCCTCTGTTCTAGGACTCTTATCCTTTATCTGCTTATCTCGGATTCCGGTATCTCCACAGATAATCTCGGCCTAGCCGAGATCATCTCGGCCTAGCCGAGATCATCTCGGTAGCGTAACCAGGTCACGTGGCACCTCGGCTGACATTTCGGTGCCACCTTAGCCACGTGTTGTTACTTACAAAATACTTCCCCATATTTGGCAACCAATCCACGGGTTACTCATTCTCAATAGTTAACTCCCAAACAAAACAAGGCTCATAGGCCATTACACAACCATCTCATAAGACAATAACACGTATACAACACTGTTAAGATTATCAATCCATGAACCACTTCTCATTACACATATAAAAGAGAGTTCGAGATTCATTGCGTGCCCCAATACATGAAAGTAAACAAACAATAATACATATGCATATACAACACATAATCACGATGTATCAGCACCCAACAGTACACCGGTCAACAACAAAAGATTCACATATTAAATCACTGGCCTCTAATACAAAAGTCCCTCTCTAGGGTAATACTACTATGTTAGCTGAAAAGTAGACCCTCGTGAAGTCTTGAAGCCTG